AGGGGCGGGGCCCAATAGGGGAAATAGAGGATTTTTTTTCTCCTGCTATACAAGTGAAGGGATTTTAACCAAATGCAGTCTGAAGCATGATTAGGGACAAAAGAATCAATTTTGTATAAACTGAGGTGTGTGGGCCTCCTTCTAAGGGCAGATGGGTGGGGCCCATTAGGGGAAATAGAGGAAAACATCAAATATCCTTCTCCTTTTGTACCGATGAAGGGATTTTGACCAAATTTGGTCTGGAGCATCATTGGCCAAAGGGTTCTCAGTTTTGTATGAACGGAGGGTATGGTCCCCCTGGGGGCAGAGGGACGGGGCCAAATAGGGGAAAATAGGTAAATCTTTAAAAATCTTCTCCTCAACCAATTGAAGGATTTTGACCAAATTTGTCCTAGAGCATCTTTGGACAAAGGAGACTCAAGTTTGTATAAACGGAGGGTGTGGGCCTTCTGGCGGCATAGGAGCGGGGCCCAATAGGGGAAATAGAGGATTTTTTTTCTCCTACTATACAAGTGAAGGGATTTAAACCAAATGCAGTCTGAAGCATGCTTAGGGAGAAAAGAATCAATTTTGTTTAAACTGAGGTGTGTGGATTCCCCTTCTTTGGGGCAGATTAGTGGGGCCCATTAGGGGAAATAGAGGAAAACATTAAAGATCCTTCTCCTTCTGTACCGTTGAAGGGATTTTAACCTAACCAAACTTGTTTTAGAGAATCTTTGGGCAAAGGGAATTGAATATTTATAAATGGAAGATGCAACTTTGTTACTTGTACTCCTTTGATAAACCTGAATGGTACTCAGCAGGTTTTAAATTGAAAAATAAAATACCAGGTGAGCTATTCAGGCCCCTGGGCCTCTTGTTTTGTTTTGTTTTTATCATATTCCATATTGACCAAAATCAAATGTTCTACTAGGGATTTCAGAATGATGTATAAGTGCTGAAGGCTACATTGACAGGTGCAATGTGATGTTTGTGGTGGAGTGCAATAAGAGTGTCTATAAAATATATTTGCATTACAATAGCATTCCTGAGGTGGTACAAATTTTAAGGTACATGTATATGCACCATTTCATTAAGATGTATAACTTTCCATTATAAAGTATGGTACATGTTCTACATCTTTAATGAATTTAGGTAATGGAGGGGCATGAAGTCAAAGGGCCAAAATTCTTCACAGGTACGTTCTTTGGTCTGAGTTTGTTGCATGGCTGTCTTCAATACTACTAGTGTTAAAGTAGTTTTGTACCATATTTTAATCGATATATTTTTAGGTTGGTGGACCAAGTGTTTTAGATAAGATGGTCAAAATTCCAGTGATAAATACTATTTATATTTGTAAAGTGTTTTTATGAAATTGAACTTGTTTTAGTACGCAGTATGTTTATAATACACTCATTAAGTAACATTTTAGTCAATCAAATTTTTCAGTGTAGGAGTGGCTTAAAATACCGGAATAAAAAAAGAAAAAAAAATCAATTACCTGTAACTGATCAGGATCGGGTTATCTCAGTCTCGGGCTAAGATTCTGTAACATCCCATTTTGTTACAGAATCTTAACCCTCGACTGAGATAACCCGATCTCGCTCAGTTACAGGTAATAGATTTCATTAATTTATGTATTATAATGGGTCAGTTAACTTGCGTTTTTGTAAAACGTGTGTCTTTAAAGTATTTCAATGTAAATTGTTAGTGATATCTAGTGATGTATTTATATCAGCTACATGTACATGTCAAATGAAACTGTTGCTAAAAATGTTAGTAAATGCCTTAATTGAAACATTTGATATGGTTAACATGTACTGTTGTGTCTTGTATATCTAGGGATGCATGTTTTACAAAACATTGGTAACACGCAATTGTGTGTTAATTGATTGTTAATAACTGCTGAACACGTGTCTGTAGAAAGCGAAAATACTTAAAAACCCCCACAATAAAACCAGAAAAGATAACTTCCATTCAAAACATTGACTTTTACCAGGAAAAGTTGTAAAAGAGTGTTAGAACATGTGTTTGAAACTTTTTATATTTACCTTGCTGGATGAAAATGATATTCTAAATTGTCTATTGCTGTTACTTATATTTTGGTTGAACAAACTGATAATAATGCTATTAAAATTTGCAACAAAAACAAACTTTTTTGTTTCTGTACTTGTGTTTGATGTCACAGTTACAATTTCGAGCATATTTTATCCAAAAGATGATATGATATGCTGTCACTACATATTATAAAATACAAAATGACTAAACCAATTTCACTACTCTTTTGGAAATACAGTTTGCATGTTGCTAAGCTGACCAGGAATATGTTAATAATAAATACTATTGACAATAACGTAAAAGTAAAATTAATCTGAAAAACATAAAGAACTAAGGGTGACCGGAATAGTTCACATGTATATCAATATTAAGCATCCCTGTCCCACTGCAATGCAGTTTTTCTCTATAAACAGTAGTCTCCCCTTAACTTCTGTTTGGATAAAATTTTCGCACATTTGGGCTAGTACACTACTGTTGCAATCTGTTAAAGCAATAGTAATTCAATCTGAAGTCTAGATGTTGGAATCTTGAGGTTTGCTCTGCTGAATTATTAACTCTTTTTTTTTTAATTCTTATTTACCAATTGTTTCATTTCATCTTTATATTTTTGTCTTAAAAAAACTGCAGTGGATGGTTTATTTTTAGAAATGATTTTTGAATGATATAGTCATGCCGAATAAAAGAGTTTTCAAATACTTAGTTACACTTTTTGGCAGTGGTAAGGGTAGCCAAAGTTTCCTCTGGCCCTGACACCAGACTTAGACATTTTGACAGATAGATGTCTGGTACCAAACATCTATCTTGTCAAAATGTGTAAGTCTAAGGTGTCTGGGCCAGAGGAAACTCAGGCTATGGTACGGGAATCCATAATTGATTTTCTAAATAAAAAAGGGGACATAACTGGCACTTAAACGACTAATGTCATACTTCACCACATATAAATTATACTCCCTTCAAATGCATAAACCAAATATTGAGCTGAAGTACACGAACATGCATATTCACATGTCATTGCAATAAATACCGTCTAGGCAAAATAGAATTAAACTTGATGTAAAAAAATAATGATTTATACAACGAATATTTTTTGGAGAAGACCCCATCTTCAATCAAAGACGATCTCATTGTCTGTCTTTTCATTACCGTACCATACACAATATGTTCAGCATATATGTCCATTTGTGTCATGACAAATATTAAAAAAAATGGTACCGAGATTAGTATGACATGCGATAGAGTGACAAACATTAATTGAAAAGTTTCCTGTTTTTTAGCTCACTTGGTCCGAAGGACCATGGTGAGCTTATGCCATACTGCAGCATCCGGTGTCCGGCGTCCGTCCGTCAACTTTTCCTTTAAAACGCTACTAGTCATGAACGACTGAGCAGATTTGGACCAAATTTGGTCAGAAGCATCCTTGTGGGAAGGGGAACAAATTTTGTATAAATGATGGGTGTGGCCCCCCTTGGGGCTGAGGGGCGGGACCCAATAGGGGAAATATAGCAAATTCTTTAAAATCCTTCTTCTTCTGTAGGAATAAAAGGATTTGTTCCATATTTGGTGTGAAGCATCCTTGGGTGAAGGGAAATCAATTTTGTATAAACCGTGGGTCTGGCCTTCCAGGGGCCTGAGGGGCGAAGCCAAATAGGGGAAACATAGCAAATTCTTTAAAATCCTTCTTATTCTGTAGGAATGAAAGGATTTGGTCCTTTTTTGGTCTGAAGCATTCTTGGGTGAAGGGGAACCAATTTTGTATAAACCATGGGTCTGGCCCCCTAGGGGCCTGAGGGGCGGGGCCCAATAGGGGAAACATAGCAAAATATTCTTTAAAATCATTCTTATTCTGTAGGAATGAAAGAATTTGGTTTGTATTTGGTCTGAAGCATTCTTGGGTAAATGGGAACTAATTTTGTATAAATGGTGGGTGTTGTCTCCCAGAAGGAAGCAAAAATACTTTTAATTATTAGAAGGTCTTCAGGTACTTTGTCAAAAGTGTGAATTTCATTACCCCTAGGCTTCAGGTTTATACATTATATAAGAAAATGATACTTATTTGGAATTATGACCTTAAGATAACAGTTTGTTACTATGAAACACAGGAGCTGATCATGAGGACAGGCCCTAAAGTGTTCAAATTGTCTTAAATATCCACAATCTTTTCAGACCCAGATATGCTGGTAACAAATACTCTTTATATACAGATGAAAGGGTTTAAATGTGGTTTATCAAAACGTAGAATTTTTAGCCCACCACCATCTGATGGTGGGCTATTCAAATCTCCCTGCGTCCGTGGTCCATGGTCCGTCCATTGTCCGTTATCCGTCCTTAAACAATTCTTGTTATCAGTATTTCTCAAGAAGTACCAGAGGGATCTTTCTCAAATTTTAAATGTAGGTTCCCCTTTATCCCTCATTGTGCATGTTATATTTTGAGACTGATCATAAAAACAAAATGGATAAAAAGAAGAACTAAACAGATCTTTCTCATATTGCAGATTCTATTTCTTTCACATTAAGTACTGTACTAGTTAATATGTGAAATGACAAACTCACTTTGAAGGTTGACTTTCATACACATCAGATCAAAAGTTACCTCAAGTTGCATTTACTGTTAACATGACTCGATCAAACAGATACGAGGAAAGAAGAGAAAAGATCGAACTGACAAAGAACTAATGAAGATGGTACAAAGGTGGGCGCCAAGATCCCTCTGGGATCTCTTGTATTACTCTCGTACTTCATGCTGCCTCTTGGGATGAGGTGAAATCTACTGTAGTTTTTATGTCACCTGAGCTTTGCTCAATTGACCTATTCTGATCGCATTCCGTCAATCGTCGTGCGTAAACTTTTTACATTTGCAACTTCTTCTCAAGAACCAGGACATGGATTTTTTTAAACTTGGCCAGAATGATCCTTGGTAGATGAGGCTACAAAATTGTAAAATTGGGATTCCTACCCCAACTCTAGGGGCCAGGGGGGGGGGGGGGGCCCAAAGGCAAAATTAACCAATTTTCATGGCGCAGCGTCCGTCGTCCGTCCGTCCTTTAAAACGTTACTTGTCCTGCACGGCCCAGTAGATTTAGACTAAATTTGGTCAGAAGCATCTTTGGGGGAAGGGGAACAAAGTTTGTATAAATGGTGGTTGTGGCCCAATAGGGGAAACATGGCAAATTATTCTTTAAAATCCTTCGTCTTCTTTAGGAATGAAAGGATTTGTTCCATAGTTGGTCAGAAGCATCCTTGGGTGAAGAGGAGCCGATTTTGTATAAACCGCGGGTCTGCTCCCCCAGGGGCCAGAGGGGCAGGGCCCAATAGGGGTAACATGGCAAATTATTCTTTAAAATCCTTCTTCTTGTTTAGGAATGAAAGGATTGGGGCCATATTTGGTCAGGAGCATCCTTGGGGGAAGATGAACCGATTTTGTATAAACCGCGGGTCTGCTCCCCCAGGGGCCAGAGGGGCAGGGCCCAATAGGGGCAACATGGCTAATTATTCTTTAAAATCCTTCTTATTCTGTAGGAATGAAAGGATTGGGGCCATATTTGGTCAGGAGCATCCTTGGGGGAAGAGGAACCGATTTTGTATAAACCGTGGGTCTGCTCCCCCAGGGGCCTGAGGGGCAGGGCCCAATAGGGGAAACATGGCAAATTATTCTTTAAAATCCTTCTTCTTCTTTAGGAATGAAAGGATTTGGTCCATATTTGGTGTGGAGCATCCTTTGGTGAAGGGAAACCAATTTTGTATAATCAGTGGGTGTTACCCCCATGGGGGCTGAGGGGCGGGGCCCAATAGGGGAAATATAGCAAATTCTTAAAAATCTTTCTCCTTCTGTAGGAATGAAAGGATTTGTTCCATATTTGGTCAGAAGCATCCTTGGGGGAAGAGGAACCGATTTTGTATAAACCGTGGGTCTGGTCCCCCAGGGGCCTGAGAAGCAGGGCCCAATAGGGGAAACATGGCAAATTATTCTTTAAAATCCTTCTTCTTTAGGAATGAAAGGATTTGGTCCATATTTGGTGTGGAGCATCCTTGGGTAAAGGGGAACCAATTTTGTATAATCAGTGGGTGTTGCCCCCGTTGGACCTGAGGGCAGGGCCCAATAGGTGAAATAGAAGTAAAACCCCTATAATCCTTCTTCTACCATAGGGATTAAGGGATTTTATCCTAATTTAGTCTGAAGCATCCTTGGGCAAATGGGACTCAATTTCGTATAAACAGCGAGTGTGGCCCCCATTGGGGGAAGAAGGGAGGGGCCCAATAGAGGAAACATAGCAAATTCTTCAAATACCTTCTTCTTCTGTACAAATGACAGGATTTTGTCCAAATTTGGTATGAAGCATCCTTGGGTGAAGGGGAACCAATTTTGTATAAATGGTGTGTAAGCAGTCGGTGTGCGGCAGAAAGGCGGGGCCCAATAGGAGAAATAGAGGTAAAACCTTTCAAATCCTTCTTCGACCATCAGGATTAAGGGATTTTATCCTTATTTAGTCTGGAGCATCCTTGGGCCAAGGGGTCTCAATTTTGTAAAAATGGTGGGTATGACCCCCACTAGGGGCATAGGGATAGGACTCTGTTTGAAGTTTGTTCTCGCGATATCTCAAGTACTGGATGGATCTTTCTGAAATTTCATATGTTCTTACAGCACCTACCATGGAGTGCTATATCTTTACTTCATACTGATTATTTTAAACATATTCAGGTGAGCGATACAGACCCTCTGGGCCTCTTGTTCAAAAATCTTCTTCTGCAGACTCAGAGGTACTTCAGTCAATTTCTCTTCATCTCTTCATCGCGTCGCCGCGTGGATGAAACAAGGTGACTATTTTGATAATTTGATGTACATAAGAAGATTGACAGGCTTTGAAGTCGGGAGTTGCTCCTCTGTTATCTCCAAAATCAGTTATTAGCACAACGATTGATACGTTTTTAGCTCACCTGGTCCGAAGGACCAAGGTGAGCTAATGCCATACCTCAGCGTCCGTCGTCCGTCCTGCGTCCATCGTCCGTCAACTTTACAATACTAGTCATGACCCACTGAGCGGATTTTAACAAAATGGTGGGTCTGGCTCCCCAGGGGCCTGAGGGGCGGGGCCAAATAGGGGAAATATAGCAAATTATTCTTTAAAATCCTTCTTCTTCTGTAGGAATGAAAGGATTTGGTCCATATTTGGTCAGAAGCATCCTTGGGGGAAGGGGAACAAAGTTTGTATAAATGGTGGGTCTGGCCCCCCTGGGGGCTGAGGATCGGGGCCCAATAGGGCAAATATAGCAAATTCTTTAAAATCCTTCTTCTTCTGTAGGAATGAAAGGATTTGGTCCATATTTAACTTGCGGTCATTGACTAAATAAAAAACAGGCACTTTAAATGTTTCATTTTGTTTTGTTTTTTGAGGCAGTTTGTGAAGCTCTTAAAAGAATGTGCAGTTTTAATATTAGTATCAAGCTCATTCCATAATCTTAAAGTAGAAGGTATGAACGAGTGAAGATTGTAAACGGAAATTAGGAATGGAATAGTTCTCAGAGTTTCTCAAATTATAAGGAGTTAAAGTAACTACTAGTGGCGGGAGAAGGTCAGTTAGGTAAGAGGAAGTCATATTGTTGTGAATTTTGTAGAAATGTTGAAGTTTGCGGCGGGTGCGACTTCCCAACCAGTTTCGAAGTAAAGAGACGCTCTACTAGCAAAAGATGGCAGGCCGGTGACAATACGCGCTGCTTCTAACTGGAGTTTTTCAAGCTTATTTGCATCGGCAGTTGTACAACCGTCCCAAACTTCGCAACAGTATTCAAGCAGAGGGAGTATAAAAGTAAGATAAATTTTGTTTAATGTCTTGCGATTTAAAGTATATTTTAACTTGCGGAGAATTCCTATTTGTTTCGTAACAGTTTTACAAATGTTATCAATATGGTGAGTCCATTTACAGTTAGCATCTAGGAAAATGTCTAGTTGTTTATGATGTTCAATAAAATCAATATTAACATTATCAAAAATAAGATTGACATCAAGCTCAGCATTGGTATTTGAAATTAGTAGTGCTTCAGTTGTATTGGGATTAAATTTAACAAGCTTCTAAAATATTCTAAAAATCGAACACATATCGTCGCATGTATAAGCATTTCTAAATACGTATTGCCAATCGGTGTTTTGTAACAACAAGGATAACAACATGAGAGTATTGAAAACCATAACTCATTTTACCACACAGTCTCAAATTTCAACCTGATACATCAGTCATCGACTGAAGTTCTTATTGCAGTTTTGGGCAAATACGAAAATGTAAGAGCTACCTGAAACGAGAGGCCCATGGGCCTTAACGGTCACCTGATATATTTATACAGAGAGTTGATTTTGTTTTTAACATGAACAGAAATGTTATTCAAAGTGACAAAAAAACCCAATAAAACCACCTTATTCAATATCTAGCATACAGATTTCAGACTAAAAAGTATTTGAAATTAGCACCTCTGATTCTAAACAAGGAAAATTAAGAAATTTTAGCACACTGACTCATTTGAGCCCCACCCTACAGCCCTTGGGGATAGGGCTGGCTCAAAATTTTCAAAGTATCAAACTGTCAACTCAAGGTTATAATTCCAATCAAGTTAATAACATGTAATATTCAAAGTATCATTTGCCATTATAAACCATAATAAATTTTGCCCCCCCCTCCTTCCCAGGGGGTAAACGTGAGACCCTAGGGTCATAAACCTTAAGACCCTTCCATCTATGAAGAGTATTTGATTCTACCATATCTGGGTCTTGAGAAGAAGATTTTTGAAATTTTAGTCAATTTGACCCTTTTTGGCCCCGCCCCTCAGGCCCCTGGGGGCTTGGGACTAAACTGGCCACTTTTTTTGTGTTGACCTTTGTCCATGGAAGGTCCCTGCAAAATTTCATTGAAATTGGTTCCTGGGTTTTGGAGAAGAAGTCTCAGGTGACCTAAAAACCGCATTCTCGACAATAAACCATATATACAACATCAGATCTCTAACTTTACCCGCGTCTAGATATTTAACTGTGATCTCGCTCACGCTCTATCCGCTATGATGTGTTGATCATGGCAAATTGATTGGTTGTGACAAACCACGTGACTATAACGTCTCATAATAATATTATTGAATGAACGCCAGCCAAAAAGGACGTCGCCTGTACATGAGTGTCATCCAACACTCGCCGGTTTTTTGTGTTCACGACAAAGACACAGACTAATATCCTTGTTGTTGGTAAGTGATTGGTGGAAGTGAGGCTTTGTCTTCGCTATGTAACATTTTATCTCTTCTGCATTCATATGGCATAATTTTAACTTTTGTTCTTCTGGTCGGCACGTGTCTTCCGCAAGCAAAGTCATACTTATATTATCAGCGTTGTTAACGAAATAGATATCGAACCTCTCTCCCGGCTAAATTACCTACGAATAAGGATAACTGTTACATGTTTTTATGTTCAGAACCCAGACCAATCGGTAGTCATAACTGTCAACATGAGGGGACTTTTATATGCAGTAACTATTTTTGGACGACCTACTTCCGCTTACAGTACGATGCGTGCTACTACGAGGGGTGAGAACATATATATATTAATTGTCTTCTCAACTGGATAGAGATATTCACATTTAGCCACGGATAGCCAGCGCGTTTTTAACCGGAAGTTATAGTCATTTTATGTAATGCTCTTAATATTAAATGCCAAGTGAGGTGCGATCAAATATTACATTGGCTCACAAGGAAACCATATGTGTCCTTGCTTTTGTGAATCTTATCTGGTTTTGAAGAAAATGTGATAGGAAAAAAAGATCATTCTCTATCTTGTGCAGAAGGAAAGGAAATCTCACAACACTGTAGATATTCGGGAAAGTCAAATCCTCGTCTGAAACAGCCTTTGTCAGACTGTCAACAATCGTCTTCCCCGCTGCCCTGCCCTCTGGGTAGGGAAAGTAGTCTTCTTGTGCGTTACTTCATAGAATATCGCAGTATGCAAGTATATGATTTCAGTTAAATTGCATGTCCAAGACATTGGCATTTAAGAATAACCGTGCCATGCTATTATTAATTTATTGTTTGCTTTTTTTCGTTAAAATTGAATTCAGTGTTGTCGTCTTTCTGCTATCCACGTGGTTTCCTACGCTTGACCTTGTCTTATGAATAAACATCAATGTATCATGACCTGCAATCCCAGCCATTGGTTGGTTGGAACAACCGCATGACTGCGCCCCTTCCATAATATTGTGGAATGGGTTACCAAAGTCGTTCACGTATCCGTGCACCCGTAAAATAACATCGTCTTTAATTGTTGTTGTCAGAACAGACACCGAGCAACCTCCCTACTGTTTGCAAGTGTTTGTTGATGATGTCGTCTCGAGAATACTGTTTAAGTGCATTGATAGATTATTTTCACTGGTTCTGTTCAACAAGTGGCTTTCGTACTCCATGGACATATTAATACTGATACCATACTAATATATTTTATAAGCAGTGATAACTGTATAGCCAAGTAACTTGCAATCCGACTGTGAAGTTACCGATACATATGAATGTGAACATTTATGTTTAGTATACCGATTCATCATCGGTTAATTTTGTTTGTAATTGCTGTCTCGATATTGGTCCTTACTAAGTTACTTATGTATATTTATTACTGTTTTTGGTGGACCTGTATACGTCATTATAATGCGTGTTTTAGGGCGCCGCTATTGCAATGAGTAAGCTGTTAGTAAACACAGCCATGCCTGTGAGAATATTCAAGGCCTATGATCAGCTAACCATCCTGACTGCCTTTGTTATACATTTCACAGCCGATTACTGTGCCGTGTGAATTGTGTACTTACAGTATATCCAACCACAATGACCTGTCATGCTGACCTTCGATTACCATATTGATTAATGGCGAGTTGATTATCAGAAACGGATTAGGTAGATCCTTGTGACTTATGCATGCAAGTGTTTTGTCAATACTACAAACGAGTAATGTGTATATTCGAACCAGTCGTAGTATCTAAACGGTATTGATCGTTGGGCATATTAAAGATGTTGAACAACTGTTTTTTTTTTTTAAATTAGTGTCATCGGTGTGGTTCATTGCACACAATATACAATAATGTTATCAAGGGCCCAGTCTCAGTAAGCTTACCTCTATCAACAAAGGAATAATTAATACAATATTTTTTCAAATATTTAGATTGTATGGGCTTTCTTGTCATTTTTTTTAAAATTTAGAATTAATTGCATATGTGATGGACTATGAAAGGTATCCCTTGTTTAACATTGCATTGATCCTTAAGCTGATAAGATTACTGACTACCGATCTCCGCACGTGTACTCGATACACCTGCACATCATTGAGCAGGTGGGCATACCTACAACATTACCCTTCTAATCCATGGATGTCAGATTGGATATTCTTTTGTTTTCCTTGCCAGAACGAAAGCCTTAGAGTTGGGATGAGGCACAGGTGTCTGTTGACTATGTGAACTGTTACGTCAACAGCGCATTTGTAAATTCCTACACAGCCGTCCCATGCATAAACATGAAGATACAAGACCACTGATCCGCAAATCTAGTCATTGATTTGCTGGAAAAAACATCACGTGACTACATCATTTGCATTATATTGATGAGTGAATTGCCCAAGCTTTTCTCGTTCCCCGTGTCACTATTAAATTTCACCGGCTTCTTGTGTTCAGACCATTGGCACGGAACAAGGATATCTTTGCTATTGGTAAGTGAATGTTGGATTTGAGGAGCCTTAATTGTCTTCTCGGTGATACCTTCCGTTATTCTGTGTTTTATTTAATATTTTAACGGGTGCTGTTATGAGTTTTGTTCAGCCGGACCTTTTATTCTGCATGAATGAAGTCCCACAAATACAATAATCTTCCAGTTGTAACTTCATAGAGATGGTACTTACAATCTGGCCATGTGGTTATCGATTGAAGTGAATGTTTGGTTCTATGCTGAAAACCCTGACCAACCATCAGTTGGTCATGTTTGTAATTACTCTTTACACGAGCGGATTCCGTACGTAAAATATTACTATTTTGTGACGACGTTCGTTACTATTTTTGGATGACCTAAATACCCTATGTGTACTAATCTGAAAGTGCAGCTATTTCAATGTTTGTACACACAGCTATGACCGTGAAGATACTGCAGGCCTTTGACAAGCTAACTACATGTATACAGCCGTTAGTGTACCATGTAATTTTATCAAACACAAAGCTCTAGGTTTACGAGTTCTTTCAGATATAAGTTCCACGTTGGGTTGTTCTTAAAGAACGAGTAAACTATGTGTATAACTTATTTGTATCATAGATGTGACATGTATCTTTCATCGAGAAAAATGCTCATTTTACTGCATTGTAAATTAGGCATGACCTAGCGTGAAACCCAACTGATATTTTCATCATGATTTGATTGATATACATATAACGGACCGCCTACTGCAGTCTGATTGGCTGTTGGTTTCGGATATCCAAAAATATTAGCCATCAAAATTTGTCATGCATGCCTACTTATTCGATTGTCATCATTTTACATCAAGCAGCAGTTTACGTCAGTGGAAATCTAGTGAAACATCTCTTCTCTATAATCATGTAGGTTAGCATTATATTTATAGATAAAGATATGACACATCTATGATACAATGCACTATATTATATACATATACATTGTATACTTAAAGTACTTGTATCAATATGTCAGAGGCTGATTTACTTTAATAAACTAGATCTTTAAACTTTAAATCTTTATAGAATGCATTTATTGAATATTCCAAATCAATTCAATAAAGGAATTGTCTTTGGTTTGAGGGTTTCAAACACTTTTCCTCTTATGTTTCCAAATCATCTATAATCGTCACTGAAGATAAATTCCTGTCCACATTTTCCTCCTTTTCAATCATTTCCATATTAGACATCATTGACACCTTCCCCCTCGTTATACCTTTAACAGCGTGTCACGCTTCGTTTGTGTTTATTTCTTCATATAAACTTGTCCAGCTGCTATCTGTACGTAATAGAAAAGAGCTGTGTAATCTAGGAAAGTATCTGCAATCAAGTTGGTTAGAACGGTCTAGATTCCAACCTTAGGTTATTGTGTTTTTTCTCACACTGACTGATAACATTTGAGTACTTGTTTATTACCAGGTTTACACATACTGTTTTGTCCATCCCCTGATCACTACACCACTGTATACAAATTGTATGCCTGTTTTGTTTTTGTAATTAACATATTCTTTATTGAGCCCCGGTTGATTTTATGCTAAGAAAATGTTGTCACCTCATCTGTTTTCCGATAACCACAGTACACTTAGGTGATTTAATTTTACAAGAGCTGTCCATCTTCCGATAATTTATTTATCTTGTACTTTATAATAATTTAAAAAATTATACTGTCCATTTACAGGTACTATATATAAATGCGATGTACAAGATTATGCTTCATTCATGATGTTATAATTATTTGGTATTTCATATTACTGATGTATCAATTATACGTTGCTGTGTATCCGTAAGGCTTCAAGTTGAATAAACAAAACAACAATTTCTGGTGGACGTTCTCTCGACTATATAGGCAATTTATAACCCCGTATTCCGATACTCGTCCCGAACTATTAAGGCCATGGTTAGCTTCACAACTTGTATAAACTTATATTGAACACTTTTTTATCAGTATTACATTTCTTTTAAAATATCTATATATAGTTTATTAATCTGAAATTATCAGAAAGTGCACTTGAAAATGCTCAAACGAATCTACTCGATCCTTGAATGAACGTTCCATAATACTACAGATGCTGAGGTATTCCACACAGGTATGCCCTCCCAGGTACTATGTATTTTTTAGCACTCTGACTGATTACTAGTTCTTTGGCATACACAACTAATAAACATAATCTGTGATAATATATATATATATATTTATGTCCAATTTGCAAAATGTGATATACATGTAATGCCCTAAAACTCTTTATCAGATTTACCTGTGACCTGTGTGCATTTTATCGATGTTGTATATCTTGAACAGTGTTTATAAATATAAAACACTTGTATTATTTATAACTTGTAAGCGCAACTCCTCCTTCACCGAGTGTTGGATTATTTTGTAACTATAAACAGTGAAAGAACATCGTATGTAGATGTGCATGAAGAAAGAAATTGGCGTTTGGACCATTTTCTTGATTTGTTGTACTTTAAACTTTCTGCTCCAGAAGTACTTTGAGCGAAACTCCTTCTCAACAGTTTGTTTGAACTTGTATGCAATTTGGCATCTTTAAAGTAGACCATATGCCAATGTGCACGAAGGAAAGAATTTGTGATTCGACTATTCTTCTATTACGGCCCAAGAAACATTGCAAGGGGTATAGCTTTGTGGGGTTAAGGATCCCTATACCTCTTACAAAAACTGCAACTTATGAATTAGGAAGGTGTTTTTTACCGGCTTGAAATAACTTATTAAGAAAAAACAAATACCTTGCAAAACTTTTATGAAAACTAGAAAGATGATATATACTTATATGTATTGTAGTGTTCTAAGAGTAAATAATTACGTGACCTGACTGGGATACGAACCCCGGGCTTACGATCACTTTACGATCTCTCTAAACAACTAAGCTAGATGATCAAGGGTAGCCACATGGCTCTGTGCCACTATAGTTATATTAAAAAGGCAAACTTTCAGGGAAGGTTACCTTACATTTAGACAAGTACAGTGTAATTCTTACATGTACATGTACGTGTTTTGCCTGTGGTGGGACAGTGATCCTTAAACGCATAACTATAGAGAATTTCTTGTTTTGTACTCAACTTCTCAATAAACTGATGTCTTATAACATAAAGATACTTAATTTTACAGTTTATGTCAATGTTTTGCAGAATTGAAGAATTTCCTAACCAGCAGTATGCAGACCAACAACACACATGCCGCTAGCACTGTACATGTTGTGCAAGGCAGTCCACCTACAACTGGCTCATCTCCACCGGATGACAAAGATTACCAAATTCAACAATGTAGGGAATCGTTTATGAATTGGTCACCTGCAGCTGATGGACCTCTGGATTTTGACGCCATGGCTACAGCAGGATGGTATTATATAGGTATACAGATTATTTTAATACTTATACATAAAAGTGCTTTGAAGTTAATTGGGAAATTTTTCCTCCAAGATTTGAGTAAAATTGTCAAACATAATGTAAGAAATGTATGTGCAATGCATGGAATTTATGTTGATAACTCTGCTATCGGGTAACTTGTGCTGTATTTTTAAAAGGAGATGGGCATGTTAAATCCTATTGCTGCGGGATTAACATGGGGTGGAAGGTGACAGATGATCCCTGGACACAGCATGCCCTTCATGGGCCTGAATGTTCGTTTCTTAAACAACAGAAGGGCCAATCTTATATTGACAGAGTCCAAGCTGCTGCTGTTCCATCGGTAGGTGCAAGAGTAATGTATTCAAATAGTTAGGAATAATCAGTAATTAATGTTTTTATCTAAAGAGGGTATTATTTGTTACGAGTAATAAGGTCCCAATGAACGTGTCGTAACAATAATCATTGATGAATATCAAAGGCACTTTTGATGTAGTGATACATAGTAGTGAATAGAGTGTAAACATTGCAGTGGAAATAACATGCTGGGCCAAAAATGGTCTGTAGAACTCATTTTAACAGTAAATGTGACTTGATCAGCATGGGAATCTAATGTTATGTTTTATTTCCTTACATGACACATTGAGATATGATGGATATGCTGTAGAACATTCCTGCGGTCAAAATAAGATTTCTTTCATAAATTGGTCAAAGACGTAATATCAACAGTGAAATCCAAAAGTGACTTGGTACGAATGTATGTTAATAGGTTGGGTCAAAGAAGTAGTTACAACATCGCAGACAATATTAGGTTGTCAAATTTCTGGAGGAAAAAACCCGGAACAGTTACATAACACAAGAACAAAATAAAATGAATTAATGGGCCAGATTATATTCAGAGTCTACTTCAGTATGCATCAATGTAATTCAATTCTTAAATAAGAAAGATTGTTTAGCTCACCTGGCCCGAATGGCTAAGTGAGCTAATGCCGTGGTGCGGCGTCCGTCGTGCGTCTGTCGTCCATCGTGCGTTGTGCGTCGTCCGGCGTCAGTATTTTACTTTAAACAACTTCTCTTTAATAACCAAAAGGCTTAGGGTGATGATATTTGGCCAGTAGTATGCTAGGATGAAGGGCTACCAAGTTTTGTCAAATGAATGACCTTATATTTTCAAGGTCACAAGAATCAAATATGTTCAAAATCTTTAAACAACTTCTGAATAACCAAAACTCTCAGGATGATCATATTTGGCCTGTTACATGATGGAATGAAGGGCTACGAAGTTTTTCAAATGAATGACCTAGAATTATATTCAAAGTCACAGGGGTCAAATATGTTAAAATCTTTAAACGACTTCTTCTTAATACTTAAAAAGCCAACGATAATGGTATTTGGCTAGTAGCGTGCTAGGATGAAGGGCTTCCAAGTTTGTTTAAATTAATGTTCTTGAATTACATTCAAGGTCACAGGGGTCAATTGTCTTAAACACATCTTTATATTACTTCTTCTGAATAACCCAATGCCCAGGGTGATGATATTTGGCCAGTAGCATGCTGAGTGAGGGGCTACCAAGTTTGTTCAAACGAATGACCGTTACCCATATTCAAGGTCACATGGTCAAATATGTTAAAACCATTATACAATTTCTGAATAACAAAAATGCCTAGGATGATGATATTTGACGATTATTCAAGTGTGACAGATGACTACTTTCATGGGGAAAGGTAGTACTACTTGTATGTGTATGACGTCATCAAAATATGCTTTTATTTTCTACTTGATAGACTGTAAACACAAGCAATGAAGAGGCGTATTACAATGTTTTTTTAAAATATGAAATGATTTAAAAGATATTTAAAATAGTAATCCCCTGTGCTAGTGTAAGTGGCAGTCTTTGACTTGCATCGGGGACAATTTTCTTTTAAGAAACTGGTATGTAAATATTTGTGTTTTATTTGCAGAATGAAGGCGGTGAACCTGCAGAGTTGGAACAGCCTGATTTCCCAATGAGTCCTCAGGATGAAGCAGGTAGTGTTCTGTTTGGTATTTGAGTCTAATATTAGGGGGGCTACTATCCTGTAGGAATCCTGATTGTAAAACAAGATCTTGGATTTAAATAGATTATAGTATATATAGATGTTGAATATTTTACACTTTTCTTGTTTTAACTTTCCCGGTTATTTGTAGGGACTAATTATAATATAGCGGTCTCCAGTGTCCCTGTTAAAAAGTGTAACCGACAGAAAGCTTTAATTAAAAAGGACTAAAGTATCAAGTTTATCAGCGTCAGCCCAAATCTAAGACAATTGATAATATGTCATTACATCTAACTTTAAACATATATCAATACATTTCTAAGCACAAGTCTTCACAAGAACTCATCTTCACATTTTCAACTTGTGCTGTGATCACCTTTACCTGGTCAGTAGATGGTGATTTTAAATATACATATCAAAAGGCAAACTGAGTAAATCTTCAAAAAAACTATTGTTAATAATGAGGTTTTTTTTTAACTTAATTTGCTTTGAAAATTATCTGTTAAACCAAAGAAAATATAATTGTACACACGGTGCATAGAACATGTAGGTGTGACAGCAGTGGGGGCATCATATAGGGTTTCAAAATAACTGCTGCAAAAATTAGATGAGTGTGCCGTTTGTTATCTGTTCTACTGCTGGTATGATACTGTGTCGCTACTGTATCTTGGCTCTTTCTCAATCTAACTTCCTTCTGTACTGTACTAAACTTTTTTTGCATTGGTTTTCTAGAACTGTGCTTTGCTCGTTTTGTTTGATAACCCTTTCTTTCTGTTTAAACACTTTTATATTTGGCTAAAAAAATGGCAAAACATTTGGACACATTTGAAACTCCTGAGCTGTACTGTTAGCTTCGCCTGGGGAGCTCTTTCTTTCTTTTCTGTTCTTTCTTGTGTTCATTTTCAAATGTTTTGCGTTGTTTGTTGCCATGGAAACGCCTTGCTGGCAGTCTGCTTTGTGTTTAGAGTTAGTCATGTAGTGTGTGTCTGTATGTCCAAGTAGTAGCCTTCTTTAGGTGCTGAGGTAGCTTGTGATTTTTGTCTCTATGTAGGTTTCTGTCCACTTTGATCTCCATGTAGTAGGCGGGGTCAAGAGACGAGAGTTTGCCAACAAAATAGCTTCGCATTATGTAATTTGGAATGTTGTACAAACTGTACAAGTCTTGAAACAGAAAACCAGTGGCCAGCAGTCAACTCCTTAACCCGTCTTCCGGTTCTTTCTCCTGATTAGTCGAACCAAATTACTGAAGCATATATTCGTCAAACCAGACAGAATGTTCCTTCGAAAACCCTAGGTTGTACCCCCAGAGTACTACTAATATCGCAACTAAGGGTACGTGCACCTAGTAAGAGCCAAGACCACTACAGGGTCACTGCATACTACAAATTTCAGTACAAAATCGAACATAACTGTCGAAGTCGCAGACGCCGATGTTCGGCCTATACTGCATTCATAATTAATGTATGTAATTAAAATCTTAATTGTGCATTGTTCATTTATAAAACCCGTGAAACCAGGGCTCAATGAACCTGGGTAACGATAGCTAGGACTCGCTCCTACAACAAACTGACCCTAGCCGCGAACAGGACACAAGTACATAATAACCTAATACAACAAACAGATACACCAATACTGATATGTTGTGTTTATATTTTTGACAGAAATCGAGGAATTAATGGAGGAAATAAAATTCCTGAAAAAAGAAAAGAACTGCTGGATTTGCGAAGAGGAAGCTCGTATGGTTGCTTATATGCCGTGTGGACATCTGGCATGCTGCCGAATCTGTGACCTTGCACAGCTTAAATGCCCGATCTGCAAGGGACCAATCGAGCATAGGATAAATGTATATTTGTCGTAGGACATGAGAATAACCATACCTCCGTGTCTTACAGCAAGGTATATTGCTTTTTCACAGACAGCTGACCTTTAACAATGGCCATGTGAATTGCGTTTTTTCTTAATTGGTTTTTGTTAAAAATGTTTTCTCAGTTCAATATGTCGTTTTGTATCCATTTTCAATTTGTTTGTCTTATCTGTATGTGTTAAAACATTTTTTTGACATTTTTTCTTTTGTATTAAGTAGATTTTTTAGATTTTTTGTTTTTAAACTTGTCCGGATTTAGAATTATAAGACTGTTTTTTTTGACAGGAAAAAGTTTTGATCAATCTGAAATTGTGATATAATTTGAAATCCATTTTGTTTAAGTTAATAATGTTAATATTGGTTTTATTTTAATTTAGATTTTTTCTGACTATGCTCCCTATTCTATGACATATCTGGCATAGAGGTTTAAAAACATAATTTATTATTCCAATAAGAGGTCTATGTTTGAAATGTATTTCCCTTTGGCGTTGTTAAAGTTTTGAATGTGATGCATAAATGATATGTCTGTTTGTATTTATTGTTTTCCATATTGACCAAAATGTTCTAGGGGTCTTCAGAATAATGTATAAGTGCTGAAGGTTACATTGACAGGTGCGATGTGATGTGTGTGTTAGAGTGCAGTAAGAGCGTCTGATATAACATAGAGTTGTATTACAATAGCATTACCTGAGCATGTACATAACTTATTAGTGGTCGTTTTCAGGGAATAATTATTTCAAGTATTTTATTGTTATCAGATTTTACTGTCAGAGGTATTTGCACCGTTTGGGGTTAGAATATAATTATGATAATCACCAATAGTGGTACTATATCGTGGATGAATTTCCGTATTGAAACAGCTATTGTCCAGCCAGGTTGTGTCTGTCTTCAATATTTATTATGGAAAAGCTGTTAAAGAAAGTGTTAGACCATGTTTTTAAATTTTATCTTTCTACCTTGTTGGACCAATTGTGTTAGATAATATGGTTAATATTGAAACGAAATATATTGTTTATATTTGTATAATTTTTCTTGTTTAAATGGTACAACATCATTTTACTATTTATGCATAAACACTCATTCAATAACAGTGTAGTGGATGCAAATTTGCTGTCAGGTTGATACTATATACATTTAAATATGGTATGTTCTCATTTACCGTTGCTAGTGCTTTTCAACTCTACGTGATTTTGACTTTTTATTTTTTGTTATTAATATTATATCTCTACATGTTCATTTATAGGTCGGTGGAATAGGTCCGTTTCAGGGTGATCTAGGGAAATTACTATGATATCAAACTCTTATGATTTTAACTCATCAATGTCTCTAGTATGATAGAAAAAAAGTCCTGAAAGATTCCCTTCGGAGAAAAAAATTGAGGCCATTTCTAAATTTGGCCTATTTTTCACCTTTTTTCGCCAAAAATGAAGAACGAGAATATATCGGTTAGATGAAAGAAAATTCATATTTTTGATATTTTCTTTGATATTAGAGTGCTGCAAATATATTAATTTATTACACATAACTCTCTATCCTACTTTGACAAAATTAATTGGCTCTGGTATTGGCATCATATTTAAAAATCCAAAATGGCTGACAATATCCGGATGAAAAAAACCCCCAAAACATGGTACAAGCCCACTTCGGCCTGGTACAGGTATATTATGATAATATAATATATTGTAATAATATAATATATTATAACAACAAACTAACACTAATATTGCATATATAACGTGTAATCTGATATTGTGAACAAAATTGTTGGGTACATACAGAGGATACAGTTATTAACAGCAAGCATTAACAGGATGGTTAAATAATACTTTCTCCAGAGTAGCTCCTAAGCCCTGTATGCACTTTTCAATACAATAATAATAATTACAACAGGTTTATATGTGCTTTTAATACACAATATACATCTTCAGTTAAATTAAATGATGTATTGCCACATTGAACTGCTTTCAGTTGCCATTCATAGGCATGTAGCGCGCTTCATGTTGGATTTGCCTTCGTCCAGTTGGATTCCATTTTCCCCATGAATGCCAACTTAAAGCAGTTCAATACTTCTATTTACCATATTTGGAATCTGTTCATTTCATAGAAATTTCAATTAAATTTACTATTATTCAACATCTAGTTTAAATAATGTTTGTATCGTGTATGCTTTTTCAATGAATAGAACAGCCATCGCCCAGGGAGGGTCAGTGTTATCCAATGTAACAATTATGACGTCATGATAATGATGACATCAACAATCGGTCCATGGCGTTCATAGCCTATATGATTGCCAACTGAATTTGATAGGGTCACATATATAGTGGCAATGTCATACGATGGTAAATCTTATACTATGTCAGTCAAAACTGACATTTTGTACTATGAGTCGTTAAAGGATTTTAATGTGATCTATTAGTGAAATTCTAGTGATTTTGTATTGTAGTTATATCAGCAACATATGTGTCCAATATATCGGTAGCCTCTACAATAAGGTAATTCCTTTATAAAGAATGTTTGGTATGGCTATACATAAATAATAGTGTCTTGTTTCTCTAAAGGAGGTCAAGTTTTTTACAAAACCTCGAAAACAAGCTAGTAGGGACTACAGTGGAAATAAGTTTGTGACTTTACTGTGTTGTCCCAGTAAAACATGTATTGTATTGTCCATGTGATGTACTTTTATGTATTGATGCAATGTTTTACCAAATAAATCTATCTATATATCTAATTGACACGGAGTAATTGACACGGAGTAATTGCAGAATACATGTCTGTAGAAAGAGAAAGGACTTAAACTTGTTATCGTTACTTAATCCAAGACATTCCTTACTTAAAATAGGCAGTTAAAACAGCAATATGTACCGTCATTGTCTCCAAAACTTCAGTTTAATATTGATGAATTCAACCATTTTTCATAAATAGATATCATTCACTTTTCTTGGCACGTGGTTCTTTAAATAGAACGTGAAAAACTATAAGGATTATAATATAGGCTCTTAAAGAGGTTAACCTATACCTTGAAAGGGACGCTTTCGTATTTTGGTTAATATTGCTCGATAAACGATCAATATAAGCAGATAATTACATGCGGTTTTGATTTAAGTTCTTCTCCAAATTAGTTTCGGAAAAGTAAGTTTCTCAAAATGATATCAAAATAGATAGCGTTGCACGGCATGTACATTAAGAAAGTTTGTTTTCAAAATTATCATTTTAACTGTCCTTGTGACAATAATCAGCAGCCAATAGAGCCGATAGACAGTTAAATTGACATAAAAGTATAATGAAGTGAAAATTGATTACATAAAAGTACTTCTTTGAATTGCATGTCCTTGCCCGTTTTCCATGAAGTGTTCCGTTTTTGGTAATGTCTCGTGTTTTGGTACTGTCCCGTTTTGGGCACACTGACGTTACTCGAATATAATATTCCAAACTGATTGTTCTTGTTGTTGAGTATTTTATCAAACGGATTTGTGCTACTGCTGATGAAATTTGTAATAAAAAGAATTCTAATTATTACTGTATTAGTGTTTTATTTCGCTTTTCCATTCTAACCATATTTCATCCCAAAGTTTGATATTCGATACAAATAAAATATACTTTCTTTGAAATAGAGAGTCTGCAATGTTGCTAAGCTGACCAGGAATATATTTCATTTTAACAAACACTATTGACAATAATGAAAACTCGTGTCATCAAATATGTAAAAGCCTATACAAATAAAGAATGTATACCGAGATTAACTGTTTTTCTAAAAAAAAATAAAAAAAAATGGGGAGGGGGAGGTGGCACGATTCCCACTAAAATGACTGAACCATGCTACACCACGCATAAATTAAAACTGTCTCCACATTCAGAAGCAAAATATGGTTGACATTGATCTGAAGCCCACGAACATACATAATTATGCTAAGGCCATTGCCAGAATCACTGTCTATCTAAAGCACATTGAAATTTAATGTTATAGGGGAAATTTATTTTTTAGGATATTTTGGGAGAAAAAAAAATCAATAATCAAACCATTCTCCTGCCTGTCTTTCCATTTGATGGTTTGTACAAATGGTACGTGTACCGCTTTAGTTATTTGTAAAAGAAAATGCAAAAAATAATGTTTCTACGAGTTTTTTTAAATCGTATTTACGACTTAGTATCTCGTATGGCACGCATGAACCTTCCTACAATATACCATCAACGATAGAAATTAACCTTAGTATCACAAGGACATGGATCACTTTAATTTTTGTTAAATGGCGTATTTAGTAGAGTGGCTCCTCCCCCTTTTTTCCTTGCAAATAAACAAAGGAATCCAAGCCCCTGAGTTGTTGACAACGGCGTGCGTCCTATGCCTACATGTAGCTTGATGACCATACGCTATACGAATTAATGCTTTTTGTTCAGCATATTCGTCCATTTGTTTCATGGCGAATATCGAAACAAAAGAAAAGAGAAGAAAAAACCGGTACCGAGATTCGTATAACCTAATACATTGTATGTGCGAAATAGTGACAAACGCCATTAATTTAATAATTGCCTATGTTTATTTAAATTCAAATCGCCCTGCGTCCGTGGTCTGTGGTCCGCCCGTCCTTAAACAATTCTTGTAAGGGCTATTTCTCAGACTGTACTCGAGGGATCTTTCTCAATTTTCACATGAAGAATCCCAATGGTCCCTAGTTATGCATATCGTTTTTTGGGACTGATCACAAAAACAAGATGACCGACGGGCTGCCATCTCTTTAGCGCCAAGATCCCTCTGGGATCTCTTGCTATTGACTTACTGAAAATTGCATTATAACATCTCGATAGTCAAAATCTGTTACTGTGGTTTCGCTATGAGGATAAGCTAATATAAAGGAATTGGTGCAGGTAGACATAATATTTTTTGGCTTATGTTCTACGCGGTCCTATACATTTGGCATAGGAAAAAGACTTATCAGATATTTTTTTTATTTTATTTATAGACTTATTGAAAAACTCCTTTTATGTGATGAGAACTATTTTTACTCTGAAAACGAGTTTTATTAAATAGCAGATACCTTTTTCATTTAGGCGACCGATAATAAACTTAACTAGGGGGCTTTTAAATATAAAATCTTTTAAATTCTTGAAATGTTTTAAATTCAGACATTGTTAAAGATACAACATATAGACTTGCGTTTAATCGTAATAACCTTCTTATTATAAATTCCATTGATACAAAATTTAATTATCTACTAAAAACATTTGCTTGTAATATATTTGCGTGATGGACAAATTTTCCTAAATTGTACAATTCCTTCGTATTTACAGATGATAGAAATAGAATAATTTAAAGACGGAGGGATTTATTCGATAAAAGGGCTTAATATATTTGAATTTTAGATCGTTATACAAGGGCAATTTTAAAATGAAATGATATTCGTCCTCGATGTCATTAACACAAGCATACCGATTCAGTTCGGAGCTGACGTGAAACATTTCTGTGTCTGCCCGATTCGATAAGAAAACAATGCGAAGACAAACGTTATCTAACGAAAGCCTTTTCATAATTAGCAGGAATTAAAGTGTAGTTTTGAAATGACTATGACATGTGTCCATTCGAGCAACGTTATGGTTTATAACTAGAAGACCGCACATGCAATTTCCAGCTCACATACGTCAGATTTTGCGTCCCTCTCTTTATTGTTTCGACGATATCTTCTAATGTTGACCAATATTTCTGAGCTTACTTTTAGAGTTGTATAGTAGACAGGACGAAATACAGGCTTACCTATCAAGTTCCTACTTATGCATAAAAAGGTCACTTATCCTGTCATGTTGAAATGTTTTTGTTGTTTGTCATCACTTAATAAAAAAAATGAACAAACTGTTAAATTAATCTAAAAAGAAATAAGAAATATCGTCTACGTACTCATAAAATTAATTATATTCAATTAATCGTAAATTATTTATCAAAAAATATTTTATTTTGAGAAAAGAAAATCACAATTGTGGTTCTAAGATAAGGACGTTATTACATTTATCTTTAAATTTGATTGTGTGTTGAAATGTTCTCCCGCTTTGTGTCGCCTTGATACTCGTTAGCCATTGATAGGCTGAAAGCACACCACGTGATAATAATATTGTTGAACACACAGTAGAACGAGTGTGCACCCTCTTGTTGCATGCTGGTATCATAGAAACATCAGGCTAAACTTACATCAGTGAATTGGTGAGTGATACCTTAGAATTTGTTGTCTTCCTTTTTTCAGTGAGTGGTTATTTGAGATATTGTGTATTCTTCATGAGCCCAGTTCTCTGCTCTCCAGTGATCAACTAGTGTTTTACCGACATAGTAACACGTGTGTGTAACACGTAAGGAAGATTTCGACTGATTATGAACCATTATATACTAGCCCCGTTATAAACGATGCCATGCATAATCCTTAAGCTATCGACTTTTAAGTCTGTATGGGGATTCTATTCTACGGTCAAAACATTCTCAACTAGTTTACTATCAGTTACATAAATGAGTCTACAAACCTGTAGGCGTAAACACCTAAACCAACCAACCAACCAATTGAGTGTCACCGACATCCGTCAGTGCGACAAAACCCGCATATATGGAACGCCATAGCTGTCACATATGGCATAAAAATACTATATGAATTATTTTTTTCATTATATTATATGATTGCATCATGATATGATTTGATTTTATCTTTATATTGTTCGATTTTATTGGCGTTCCATTCGCAAGGGTGGTGTCAATCTACCAGCCAACCAACGGTCGTCTCAAAGGCACGGTAATCTTGTTTACTGAAAAAACCCTTATTGTACGTCTTAGCAAATAAAGAATAAACTTGAAGAGTATACTGAATCCAAATAATATTCCCGATATCAATAAATGACAGTTTTTTTTTGTTAGCAGTTCTCGATTCTTTTTAACGAATAACCTGAACAGCTTTCGATTGTATTCTGTCTTGACTTTTCATCATGATGAAAATGAAGAACTCAGCATATTATCTTTCTCCCTTTCTCTGTGTTTAGTTTGTTTTTCTGGGCATCTGTTCTTCACTTGAGCTAAGCTGGTTAGACAAAAATGACCTTCTGTTTGCTCATTTCGTCCTATTTTATCATCACATGCTTTCTTTCTAAAGAATACTTCCTATCGTCCTAAGTGAATTTTCGACCAATAGAACGATGGCCAGATAAGAAATACAATATCTTTGGCCAAAAACAGTTGGATAGATTTTCACTATATGAGACAGTTCACGGGACCATGTTAATATCTAAAGTAGCATTTCTATTTTAACCGTTACGGTATATGTCGTTTCGAAAATATACACCGCAAATAAACAATATTATTTTGATACACATATGATTATATGCATTGTAAGACTTACACTAGCGCACTTGCATGAAGTATCTACTGTTATATAACAGGGACTGTCAAATGCAGTTTCCTGTGGAGTAAAACGTTTTGAGATGACCTATAATTTAATTTTAAACACGCTGTGTACCGGAAACAGTTTATGTGCTTGCATGGTAGTTTCAAGACATTGAGGTATCATAACATCATTAATTGCTGTTGGTGAGTGCATGATAATTTGAGATGGTTTTTCTTCTCTTGTTGTTGGTTGATTTTATGACATTGTTTGTCTTTTCGATAAGACCTTCTGTTTTCTTTCGAGTGTTGTACTACTATATATGTGCACGTACCCTCATACTGTAACTTTCAATTGACAATTAACTATTAAATATACTATTATATATCTGATACGGTGCCATACACAATACTACCGACTTGTAAAACGTAATGTGATCATATGCTATCACGTATTAGTCAGAATCCTCACCATGCAGTTACATATCACTATCAGCAGTATGAATGAACGAATCTACGTGATTGTTACTATTTAGAGATTATCCCGTTACCTTCCGCGATCCCATTCATCACGCATCTGTTACCTTTTGATACCTAGTTGTTTTTGACATAACCACGTGCATTACAACATCATACGTTTAATTCTTATCTATATACAAATAGATGAAATAGTAATGGGCATCCGTGTGACCCAATTGTGCATGTACAGTGACAACCGTGGGAAAAGGCTATTATTAGATAATGCCTGGGTGATTTCATTGGCTCATGGAATATTTCTCGATTATACATTTGTTACGATTTTTAAACCGTATTTTGCTAATGGCCAATACTTATTACTGATTGAAGGTTATATGTAATGTTTCCTTCTGAGTTTTCTTTGGTTCATGGTCAAAGATTTTCAACAAGGTTAAAGAGATTTAGAATACGAAACGATTTATTAGAAGATTTCATTGTACCAGGATTTAGTGACACAGTCATTTACTCTCTTTATAGCGGTATTTAGCACAAAAAAATAATTGACTGCTCAAAAAATAAATTTAATAACATGAAAAATATCTTTAAAATTTAGACGGTAGTTGTTATACTAAAATCCTTGTTTTATTTAAAAACATCCTTCGTTCTTGAAGTGTTTGAAAAGAAGAGATAATTAAACAGACAATACATAGACTTTCGTTTAAATGTAATTACTTTCATAATATGATTTTGCACAATCCATGAATGGTTACACAGAATTAGAAGAAGGTTTTGCGGATATTGTAACAGTCTTGTTTTATATTCACTGAGCCAAGTGTTGCAAACTGTCGTAGTGTCATGGCCTATAGCAAGAAAAAAATAACATATGTACATCACTCAACACACAACCCAGCATGTACACACACTTTTATTTGGTTATTCTTTGGTGAATACGAATAATCACAAATGTAGATTAATATCCACGTTTATCAATAACATATGTACTTAAAAAAATCTTTAATGGTCTTCTATCCCCATACCGACCCAATCCTCGATATTAAACTTCAAAACTTGAAGAAATAGAGACGAACACGTATACACACATGCATAGGCTAGTTTTTCAATACATAACTCATTATGTTAAGTAGAATGATGTTCAGTCTGATTTTCCTTTTTCCTTTTCATTTGTTGACAAATATTCCTCAGTGAACTCTTGGTAATCATGTCATAGGTAGGGCAAACTGGGCTATCGGTATGTGAAGAAACCTGACATAAGCATCAACATTTTATATTTCTGAAGACTATCACGACGAAGTATTGATTTGTTATGATAACTTATTCCAACCCCCACCACACACCTCTTTTTGAGAAAATATCATTTCGTTTTGAGTTCCGAGATATGTTATTTGACGTAATGTTATTAGAAATTTTGTTTGAAAAGTTGAGTATTATATGCACAAATCAACAGCGTTCATTTTCATCCTGTTGATTGGATTCTATATCTACATGGGAAAATGTACGTGAGGTTATACTCACCCATAGTAATCTACAAAGAAAAAGAAAAGATATACTTTGTACAAAAAAATTATCAAGAAATTCACAGGTACAATGTATCAAAGAATGTTTCTCTGGTGAAATTTAATCTAAGTTTATTTAATGGATTTGATATAATTGCAATTATGTATGCGAAGAGAATCGTTTAAATGCTTTAAAAAAAGACTTATTCTAGTGAATGAAGTGTAGTTATAGTTAATTGTACTTGTACATCAGACAATTAATTATGCATATAAATGTTTCATATCAAAGTTTAAACGAATATATAGTGTTTTTGATACTTGATTCCGGTGAGCAATGAAAAAAACAATAAAAAAAGAAGGTATTTGTACTATCATAAGATTGATGATACCGAGATTTATCGATAATCAAATCAATTGCTTTACATTTTTTAGCTGGCATACAAATATGTTTAACTTGGTTAAAACAGAATCAATAAAAGAGTTAAGAATAAGTCAAACAAAGATTTTATTTAGTTTATTTTTGAAAATTGAAATTATGAACAAGTTTATCTAAATATAATATATCAGTTTCTAATTTTCGGGTCAAATAAAAGAAAAAGAAGAAGATGTTTATGTTAGAAATATTTCTCAATTAGAAGATTAATAATTCGTAATTCTATGCGTGAACTCATTGTTTTGGGTTTAAGAATGATTGTATATCAAACATTTATTTCGTTGTTAAATTGTTTATGATATTAATTACAACTTAATTCCATACATATTTAAATAGTTTTTATCGAAGATAAATCATGTTTATATTGTTTATATGTTTACCGATCATTTGTTATGTCCTTCGTAATTGATAAAATATTGAATAGAATGACCGTTGTTAAACGTGCAGATAACTAATTGGAGATGAATCATTGTTGTTGTATACATGTCTGTCTTCATACCATCTACTGTAATATGTTTTTATAAATAAATTATATACAGCGTAATTTTATCTAAATATGAAAACATATTTTGACATTTTATTTGTAAAAGTGTCTATGACGTATTTATATTTCTGATCATTTTAAAAACATTTTGTTTTCCAACAGAAAAAAAGCAATCTTTTAAACTAAGAAATGGTTTTCTAATATTGACAAACAATTAATCTTCTCTGTACTTAGACATTGGTCTTTCCAGTAAGAAAATGGCCCGAGCCATGGGGAACCTCGTTAACGCAGAGATAAATGACCGCACAAGAGAAGACAGCTTTCGGGTTTGGCATCACCCAAATATTCCAATAGGATCGCTCGTGACTGGAGGATTTTCCTGTATAAATTCCGAGACTTCAACAGTGGCATGCACCGCCTGTGGACTGGAGGTAGACGCTTCAAATCTGAACGGTACAAATCTTTCTGTCTACCATGTCCAACGTTCTCCTGAGTGTTTGTTTTTCTACCCAGATCACCCTTACAGAAAGCTGTCAGACCGCATACAGACCTACCTGTATTGGTTGGGTTACAGAGGGGCCCCGGATATTGATGATCTCGCTACAGCTGGATTCTATGTTACCGGTAAGATATAATTTTAAAATAGTAAGTAAAGTTGATTATAATATATGCTTTGTTAAGACATTCAAATTGATACCATCGTCTTTGCGTACTTCAGATATTATGTATGCACAGGTAATATGTTATTTCTTTACTGCAATTGAAACAGAAATATCCATTGAAATTTTAAAAGAAATCATTAAAATGTCCGAATAAGTTATTTATAAAAAAGCTAAATATCTGTATTTGTCTTATTTGGGAAAAATACGGATATGGGAAAAATAACAATGCCTTAAATTGATTTGTCTAATTGAAAAAATAACAACATGAAAATATCTGAAAATACAAAACATGAAATCGAAACACTACCTTACGTGGCATATTATTTTTTATTCTTTTATTTAGAATTTGGCCAGGAGGAAGTTCGATGTTTCTGCTGCGATTTACTTTGTCCATTGACACTGAGACAAATAGATGATATCAGAAAGGAACACGCTCTTCTTAGCCCGAACTGTGCATTCAGCAATAACAGTTGAAGTCAGCTATGATATATGTCTTGTACAATGCCTCTGCCATGCAACTGAGCAATATTTCCGGTTGTTATATGCATCATACTTAAGAATGACACGACTAAATGTGAGAAGAGAAACTACGTTCTCTAAATTAACCTTAGAACACCAGAAATAATGTTGCAATGATTGTATTTAACTTTGTGCCTAGGAAAGTATGCTGGATTGATTCCAGTAGAAACATTGACCCCATGATGACACTGAGCGTTGAGTTAATATTGAAGTGTACCTGCTAATGCATTCGGTGATTAAGTGCACGTGTAAACAAACTGTAATCGGTGATGTACCCAACAATATATATCTATATATTTGTTAATTGATCGTTAAAGAAACAATCAAATCTAAAATTATTACCAAGTGTAACAATAATCTAAATAATTAAGATTGCTAAATAGGAAGTCATTTTATTCAAATACATGTCGTTATAACAATCAAACGATGTGTATGTTGTGCCACGCTTACTTTTATTCCATTTACATTCATAAGACAAACAACGTGGGCTGTATATTTCAAGATTGATGACGTTTTTTCCACTTCATAACACAGCCTAACACAACAAATATGAATAAGATCAGAATGCTAAATCTACTAGTATAATCATTCTGACAGAAATGAACTTCTGGTAAGTTATCTAAATCCCTTAGATCTTGGTTGTGTACAGTCACAAACTAATTCACAATATTGAATAAAATTAATTTTGGTTTAAATGTTTAGTTAGTAGTGTTTCTATAGCTATCCACCAATCACTATAACATATAGCAACATCTCTGAAGGGGTTCATAATAGCTTTTGCTGATTTTGTTCTGCAGTCAGGTCAGAATCCCGGCCAGAAAGTATGGTACCATCATTTGAATTAAGATTTTTTTATTACTGCAAAACCTGTGACGAAAATGACAATAGCGACGATGACAACAGTAATTAGACATATAAAGTGGCAAAAGTGTCGCGGAAAGTATCCAAAAACACAAAAGAAATGTTATTATGTGACGTTAGTTCCATTCCTGAATCTCTGACTTCATGTTTATTTATTTTAAGTGTTGTTTGTTTTTCAAATTGGATTATAATCCTACATTTCAAATACGGACACACTGTTTTTTTGTGATTTCAACTTCAGCTTTAATGTTGATGATTTGTATTTCGAGTTTGGAGTTTATATATTATTTATTGTTTCTGGTAGTGGTTTATTTGTTTTATGTCTCAACAGCAAAAATTTATGTTGTTAAAAAATAACGATATAAATACCAGATATATTATTTCACTAAATGTGTAATATAAATATTGTATAGAAATAAAATAAGACATTATTACACCCCCTAACCTCCCATTAAGACTGTCAGGGAAGGTGAACATTAAGGCTATGAAACAGGGTATCAATAAAAACATGTATTATATTCATATCATGGTGCATGAACACTTTGTATGTATGCTTTTTAATAATACTTTCTAAAAAAAGACATATATATACATCTACAATACATAGTGTATGGAAAGTCAATTATGGAATACATTATGTAAGGTGTTCTATAATGTATACAGCTATTAATTCTATATATGTCTCTATTCATACAGTAATGTCTTTTTATACATTTATCCCATTTTTAATGCTCAAGTAAATATGACTATTTCATAATGAAACAATTTGTTCATGAATTTTCTTGTATCAATATCAACCAAGAGTAGGGGGTATTGAGGCTCACACGATTCATGAGTGGTCAAAATACCTTCAGTGTACATTTATAGACACAGACCCACGTGTGCTGCCCACAAAACTAGACCTTAGGAAGCTCGCCCTGTAGCCTTGCCGGGACAAAATTAATTGATTCTGGCAATGTCCCAGATAACACCTACATACACAAATTGCACTGAATATTTGAAACCACGCCTTTTAGCACACAGAGGTTAAAATTTATCAAGTATCGCATACCTTATAGCCAACCGCAGCCGGAGAAGAAACCTATTGAAATGTGGGCGGTACATTAGAGGCGGACAAACCACACTGTTATTGTATTCAACAGGCAGTTCTGAACTAGTCTTTCCCCGAGCGGTAGAATCATGGATCAGGACATTTTATTTTTTATTTTGTCTTTGTTCAAGTCTTTTTTTTAAAAATCTGGATCAGGACATTTGTAAATACCATTATACTATCTATCACTGATGATCTGCAAAGCATGTAACACTTTAATGTGTATATTTGTTACTCTTGAAGACGAATGTGTGATATTTCATTAGTACTGCATCTATTTAACTACATCGTGAACTAAAATGTATACCTATATTTTAACTGAACTACTTCACTTATCTATATTTTAATCGTGTCTGTGAATTGTATGAAGAGAAACCACAGGTAATTATCAAGACTTTTCGCACTTATATGTAGATATGCATGGTAAATCAATTATCTCTTGTTCGGCAATGGATCCTCTAGACGTTATTATATGGGATCGAAAATTCATCTTAATGTATAGCAAGCCAATTTTAAATCTATTTAATATGCCAACTTTGTATTAAGATGATTTGATTTCTCTTCTATATATAATAAAACATTTTCTATATCATATATAATATTTTATATACTATTTATAAATTTTATATGTTAATAAGATTTCTGATATGTTTATACGATAAAATATTTTTTTTATAAGATAAATCATTATTTTATAAGCTATCTAATATATAAACGTTATGGAATACCCGATAAAAAAAAAAAAAAACAACGGTATTAGGCAAACAAATTTTATAAAAGATATTTAAGATATCTTATAACAGATAGAAGATATATCTTAAAATGTTCTTTATAAAATATCTTTTATATAATATAGGATATATTGTATATTTTAAAAGATGCATATGTTTTATGAGATATATATTGATAAAATTGCGTTATTATACAAGATTAAAAAATATAAGAAATATCTTACATAATATATTAGATTTCCCGTATAGAAAATTATTTAAAATATTTGTTAAAGATCGAGGTTTTCGTGATACTGACCATTGGATAAGTATTGTATAACAATTGCTCCCTACGGGATTAAATCGCTGTCAATCAGTAATGAACGGTTAGTTAGGTAACCGTTCATTAATATGTCTACCCATATATTCATACGGTTAAATAATTTATACTAATCGTCTCAGCCTGAAATCTAACGGTATTGCGCTGCTCCATATTTTCGGACGAAGTGTTCATTATTTCAATGTCAGAACAAATTCTATATAAAATATCTAATAAATACCAATATAGAACATATCTTATAAAGACTGTTAAACAAGATATCTTACATATATTTGTAGGTCACCTGAGCTTTAGCTCAAGTGACCTATTGCTATCCGTCTTCGTCCGTCGTCGTGCGTCGTGCGTCGTGCGTCGTCCGTTAACATTTTACATTTTCAACTTAAGCTGAAATACTGACAAAGGGATTTCATTGATACTTCATGGGAAGGTTACTGACATCTCCCTGATCAAGTGTTGTTATTTTTCGGGTTGATCAGAAATCCAATATGGCCGCCACGGCCGCCATTTTGAAAAACTAATTCAAACTTAAAGTCAAGTTCTACTGGGCCGATTGAACTGAAACTTTGTAGGAATTATCGACTCATTGTCCTGACAAAATGTTGTTATTTTGAGGTCGATCAGAAATATAATTTGGCTGCCACGGCCGCTATTTTGAAAATAACTATTTCAAACTTAAAAACAAGTTCGAATAGGCTGATTTTACTGAAACTCGGTCTAGGAATGATCAGCTCATGGTCCTGACAAACATTTCAACAACAAAATAAATACTGTAGGACTCAGGTGACCGTTAAGGCCCATGGGCCTCTTGTTATAAGATAATTTTTATGATATATAATATGAAAGGTATGTTAAAGAAAGAGAGAGAGAGAGAGAGAGAGAGAGAGAGAGAGAGAGAGAGAGAGAGAGAGAGAGAGTATTACTTATTCATTGCCTTTTATTTACAAATTATGGTAGATTTTGAAATTTGGTCATTAAAATGGAACAATCCAGCACAGTCAGCGCAGTGATATCCAACTATTCAACAGTTTGTGGCTTTCTCCTTTTCATTCCATCCTTTCTCGAAAATTCGCACTGGCTGTAACTGAATGGCCCATCACATGCCTATATTACATACATTCAAGCACACGCACACTTCTTGCATTCACGCTCTCGTGCACTTAAAAGAAAGTTAAACATTACAGAGGATTACTAAAATAATAAGGAACACACAAGTGCACGTTATGCCATGTAATACGAACACAAGCTAAGAAATGAATATGAAAGATAATGAGGACTGTTGGAGAGGAGACAGAAGAACGTGACCATATTAAAACCTGCGAGTACTCTAAGATTTCTAAACATTTGAAATTTTTGATCAGTATATATACTGCATATAAAAAAGAAATGATTAGCATTCTCATTAGGATATCCGCATGCACATATAGGAGAGTTGATTATGTTAACATTAAAGAGATCATCATTTAAAGGGCTGCATTTAGGACGGAGTAAAATATTTAACTTACGGTCACCGGCTAAATAAAAAACAGGCACTTTAAATGTTTCATTTTGTTTTTTGAGGCAGTTTGTGAAGCTCTTAAAAGAATGTGCAGTTTTTATATTAGTGTCAAGCGCATTCCATAATCTTAAAGTAGAAGATATGAACGAGTTAAGAGAAGATTGTAATCGGAAATTAGGAATGGAATAGTTCTCAGAGTTTCTCAAATTATAAGGAGTTAAAGTAGCTACTAGTGGCGGGAGAAGGTCAGTTAGGTAACAGGGAGTCATGTTCTGAATTTTGTAGAAAAGTTGAAGTTTGCGGCGGGTGCGGCGTTGAGACAAGACTTCCCAACCAGTTTCGAAGTAAAGAGACGCTCTACTAGCAAAAGATGGCAGGCCGGTGACAATACGCGCCGCTTCTAACTGGAGTTTTTCAAGTTTATTTGCATCGGCAGTTGTACAACCGTCACAAACTTCGCAATTTTCTGCCCAGTTATGATTTTTTCAAGATCTCGGTTAGTAGTAGTTTCAGGTTCAATTGCGGAAGGAGAAGAGACGGATAGGGAAGTATCATCAGCAAAAAGACGGGAAGGGCTGACAAGGTTATCAGTTATATCGTTGATATACAAGAGAAAAAGACAGAGCCCTGGGGTACACCAGCATTAGTTGTTTTAGTATGAGAAGTAGCATTGTGGATAAAGACTTGTTGATGGCGATTCTGTACATAATCGGATAGATTTCCATTAATTCCATAGTTTTTTAATTTGTGTACAAGACCTGCATGCCAAACCCGATCAAAAGCTTTGGAAATGTCGCAAAAAACAAGACAGGTATGATG